GAAGAATATTTTATTTATAAAAGTTATCAGGACCCAAATATCCCATTAAAAAAATTCAGACAATATTATTTTTTCTTCAATTTCCTTTACTGATTTTCATTTGCTACTGACTGATATTTAAACTGCCATGTATGCGATTTTTATTTATAGATAAAAAACATATTGAAGGTGTCCCAGAAAAGTTAAAAGCTAGAGCCGAAGAGAGATCATTCTGTAGATGTTTCCGAACAACAATTTCCTTTGGCAAAATGCAATTATTAAAGCATGGTTTTTTAATTATTAACGAAAAAGACTGACCAATGAGAGCGCGCATAAGGCCCGCCCTAAGCCACGGCCGAGCGTCACGATCCGAGTCAACCTCCCTACCCGTGACTGGACGCGGACCCAATGCGTGCTCTTATTGGTCAGTATTATTCGTTAATAATTCAAAAACCATGGTTTACTTTACATTTTACCAAAGGAAATTATTGTTTAGAAACACCTCCACAATCACCCCTTTTCGGCTCTAACACTTTTTATCGGACATCCTGTATATACTGTCTTGTTTTATGATCGTGTTCCGCAAAAATCTTGCGAAATTGTATTTGGTGATTGTGAAAAGGTTAAGAATCACTGGCCTATTACATTGATTGCACGATATCATAAGTGTTCATTTAGAATGCATTTTTAATTGATACTATGAACGGTTTGTTTTTCATAAAAATGCGAAGTCTAATGATCAATCTGTAGTAATCGACTGTTAATTACTTTCAACTCTCAGATAAAAGATCGCCATTTCGAATCCTAAGTACATCTGTTTCATTTCACAACACCGGCCCGCGAGATCATCCTGTTCATTTATCAATGATTCACCGTACAGAAAAATATCATCATCCTGCCGCCTCGTGAGCCCGAAATCTCTTAGATGACTTCGGACCAAAATATTATCTTTTTTTTCCCCGACTCTATTTTTACCGTTAACCCTTCGGATCAATCAATCGTACGGGATTCCGTTACGGGTTATCTTATCCCGTTGCAACGTGACGTGTAGGCGGAGCGGAGGGAACGAGAGAAAAATGAGGATAGGAAGAAACAGCGGAGGCCGTTGGCGCGTCCTTTTAGGTAATAGCACAGCCATTTACCACGTTCTAATCAACCGGTAAAACTGACGGGCACATTTTTTCGGCGATTGTGGCGCGGCCGGAGCAACGATAACCGCGATAAGGGCCGCGAGTTACACGCTGATAACCCCGTGGTACTCGTGCATGAGGTCAGCCGGGGAGCGGCACGCTTTCCTCCTACACGGCCGACTTTGTGGCGTCTATATTTAGATTATCAATGGCTGGTCGGTTATACCAGGAAACACGGCCGTGCTTAGAAGAATCCGCCCAAGGATTCCTGGAAATCGGGGCCGAAACTATTAATTACAAATAAAACTGCTTGATGAACGTGTCACAGAATTTTGTCTTCAATGGGATTACTATTCGAATCTACATTACCCGGATTTCGCAATCCGATTAACATATGTTCTACAATATACTCATTTTCTACGACATTTCAAAATCCTCCTTCCTTTAATGAAATGTTCATTGCTAAGGTT